GGGGGGGGGGGGGGGAGGGAAGATTAAGATTAAGGGAACAGACTGTGGGAACCAAGGACAATTGCCAGGATCCAGAAATGCTTTCCCACAACAATATATTTCAACTTGATTGGGCAACATGAGGAGGAGGAGGAGGAAGAAGAAAGTGCTTTTACTATCATTACCTGGGTGGGGTCTGATCAGAGATGGTTTTACTTTCATATGTGCCAGTATGGCGTACTCAATAAAGTTTTGCATGAAGAGCCTGAAAAGTCTCAGAGGTATTTACTTGGTTGGGTTCACTAGTTGGAACTCTTGACACTTTCTCTTGGGAAAAATCTACCAAATCTTTGATACCTCCCACTGCTTTTTAGTAACATTGGGCCAGAACAAGATGAAATTGTTTTACTGGCCTTGGTAATAACAAAGGTGGTGGATATGGCTAAGACTCCAAAGTGGCTTTCCCTCACTTTGGAAAATAGTTCATTGAGGTGGTTGTAAACTATAGGAAGAATGACGGATCTCATTCTTTGCCTTCTCTTCACCACCACCACCATCCCAGGTTGTCTCCAGAAAAACAGAAGCAGAGAAAGCAGACAAGCAGAGCACAGAATTGGAGGCACGGTTGTCAGCACTGGTCTGGCCATCTTGGAGGCCTACCCCTAAGAATTTAGACCAGGGGTAGTCAACCTTGGCTCTTTTATGACTCGTGGACTTCAACTCCCAGAATTCCTGAGCCAGCTGTGCTGGCTCAGGAATTCTGGGAGTTGAAGTCCACGAGTCATAAAAGAGCCAAGGTTGACTATCCCTGATTTAGACTCTCATGAATGAAGGCAAATATACGTGTCCCAGGATTAGGTTGCAGGATCCAATCTGGGTTGGTTATGGGGACCAGAGTTTTAGTCTTCTGAGCTTTCGGACTCATGCCAGAATCCATTCTGGGGGAACTTCTTTCTCCTCAGAATTTAGGAGATGAGGAGAATGCAGAGAATTTAGACTCTCCGTATCAAATGGCGGATCTGATGACAAATTAGGAGGAACCAGAACATCAGAGACAGTGCTCAGTAAACCTCTTGGTTCCACACTGCATTTATGCTATATTGATCTGGGAGAATTCCCAGACCACTTGGGCCTGGATGAATTTAAACCAGGCGTCCCCAACCCCAGGCCCGTGGACCAGTACTGGGCCGCTGCATGCCAGCAACCGGACCGCACAAACAAGCAAAGCCCCATCTGTGGGATGCAGGCAGCACACAAAACCACAGCCCCTCCTGTCCGTGGAAAAACCTCTCTCCACGTAACCGGTCCCTGGTGCTAAAAATGTGTGATTTAAACCACACAACAGAAGAGAAAAGAAGGAAATAGCCTTAGTTAGTTTATTTTTTTAGGTGGGATTTAAAAACCTCCGCATTCTGATTTTCATATGACTGATTTCATGTTTCCTGCCGATACTTGGATTAGATTGAGTGTTGCCGTGTTACTTGATTGTTGTTTCCTTTTCCTTTTATTTTCATTTTTTTTATCAGCAAGCTTGCGCATCTTAAAATTGGATTCAAATGTCTAAAATAAATGGAAGACCAGGCTGAATGCTTGTTCTAGGAGAACAAATAGAAGATGACCCAAACTCTTAAATATTGTTTAATGGGGAAATACAATTCAGTTGCAATATTCACTGGCATGTTCTAAGGGATGTAGAAATCTCTGCCACTTCGGTAAAATAATATAGGATATTTTAAATTATTTCTAGTTCCTGAGAATACATTGTGTGCATGAGTATCAATTGTGCAAGAGATTGGTGACTACTTATAGCCTTGTCTTTTCTGTACAACAGGCAGAGTAGGAAAAAAAAAAAACCAATTTAAACCCACCAGGGTTTTAAGGGATGTCATCTTTCAATCCTTAGTCTGTAGGGCATTGCTTGCTACTTTTCTTTCTTCTGTTTTCATGAAGATTTTCATTGTCAGTCTCCTGCTTGATGCTAGCACTAGATTTCTAAGTTGTCTACAGCAGAAAATTATTGCTTGCATTAGCCTTCTAGAGCACAGATTGAAGGCCATAACTGTGAATTTGGAGGATAATCTTTATTCAGAAGAGGATCAAGGCCTAAGTAGAGATTTTTTTCCCAGGTCCTTGCAGCTTATAGCTCATATTTTTAACCACCACAATATACCAGCTTTCAACATTGTATCAAACTGAAATCAATCTGTTTTTTCTTCATCACTCTTGGGTGTTCCTGTTCTGTCTAAATTGATACAGTTGCCTACTTCCTAAATATTATTTAAAATCTTTTGGGATATATCCAATTTGTAGCTCGTTCTGAGTAGCATTTATGCACTATAATGGTTTATCTGTGTTCCTTTGGGAACTGACTCTCTATTTTTTGATCTGTACTGAATTTTGGAAATCTGGATGTTTTGGCACTTAGGAAGAAATATAAAATGACCATAAAAAATGTGCAGGTCTAAAGCACTTGAATTGGTCACCTAAATGAAAGTATGTTATACTGTGATACAATATTGTTGTAATATCTTCCATCATATAAAACTCTTTTCAGCTGATGAAAAAAGATATATTTTTTTTTCTCTAATGCCATTTCTCACTTTGTCTGCCCATACTTCTCATCTGAAAAAACCCATAGGAAGAGTTCTTTTCTAGTATTTTCTCTTGGGATTTAACAGAAGCATGAGAAACAAGGCAAGTGGCACAGATCTCTGGAAAAAATGTTTTTATATATATAGCTCTTGGCTAGCTTGTAAAACAAGAACAGTATGGGTTCAAATGTGACTGAAAAAGTCGCACAAGAACACCACCCTTGAGAATTTCTTAGAGATCACCTTTTCATTCTTTTAAATAGCAGAAGCCAATATTTTTTTTCACCAATCTCAAATAAGAACTGGTGAAAAATGTAGGGTAAGGGTTTTATATGGCAATAGACTCTACCAAACTTTGAAAAGAGTGAACTGTAATTCCTCCTAAAATTATTATTTATCAAATGTATTGGCCACATAGGGTAACTCTAGCTAATAGTGAAGTTGGTAGACCCCATATGTCATAATCAGTCTCATGAAAGTCTCAGTGAAACATTTGTCAATCTTTCAGTCTTTAGGCCACCTCCCTTTTCTCACTGGAAGCTGTAGTATCTATTTGTAGAGCATTTTCACAAGTCTTCAGTCTCTCTCAATCTCTCTTTCTCTTTTGCATTATTAAAAAGATGCAAAATGCTTAAAGAACAGCTTGCAAATTCACAAGGAGGCTGTGTATATATAAGCACACTGGCCTGATTCATTCTTTATGGGAGTGATGCTAGAGTTATAATTATCCCTTCATAGTGTTGCTGCCCTGTTACAATGACATTATTTACTAACTTTACTAAAATATTACAAAAGTGCTTGTTTAAAGTGTAATTTAGGGCATTCTAAAATGCTGCAGGTTTATATGGAAACGAAATGGAATTGACTTATGCAGCCTCCCCTAAACATGTATGCTCTAGATAAATTAGATTACAACTCCCAAAATTTGTACTGAGCAGAAATGAATGTTGACAGTATTAGGAAAAGTTACCTGAGAAACAGTGGCTTGAACAACAACTAGAATGGGATTTCTACTGATAATTAATCACACTGGTAATTAATCTCACTGGAGATGCATGCATTTTAACACTCAGAATTCTCAGCAATGGTTATATCTAAGTCTGCATTTCTAGAGGTTCCCAAGTTCAGGAAGGTTAGCTAAATAAAATCTTCATGTGTAATCACCTTCATGTGTAATCACCTGTCTGAGATGATGTAGGTTCTCCTGCTTGAGCAGAGGGCTGGACTAGAAGACCTCCAGGGTCCCTTCCAGATTCTATTCTATTCTATTCTATTCTATTCTATTCTATTCTATTCTATTCTATTCTATTCTATTCTATTCTAAATATACCTTTAAATATCATATCCAATAAAATAATCAAAAGTATCCTTGATATTCTACATACTGCATGTTCCATTTTGGAAACAGAAGGTTGAATTATAAGGATGTCATTAATGGTCCAGTCTCTTTTTCCTTTTAGCCCTAGAAACAATTTTCGAATGTATACACGGAACAAGATATCCAAATGCTATTTAAATGTCACTTGTGAAAATGCTCTTACACATCTTCTTATATGTTTCTCAAAAGGTTGCTTGTTCGAAACCCCAAGTTGATTTCATATGGAGCAGAAACCAGGATGTTGTTTGCTTGGAGGTATTTCATATATATATAAACAGTGTCAGCATACTGACACCATACCTGGGATATGGGATCAGTAAATTTCAAAAGGCTTTGGAATATGGATTGCATCAGGATGAATATTGCCTTTTTAGTACCAATACAGATAGTCCTTGACTTA